GGGGGGGGGGGAGAGTTTTTCATTATATAAGAAGGTTCTACTTCTTATGTTAAATCATCCCACAAAGTTAGTGTTAACAATTAATCTATGGTTAAAAATTCCTTAGGGTGAGAGTTAAAGTTAACAAATAGAAAAATCTGTGGGGTAATTTGGGTATAAGCGAGTGTAGAAAAATTGTGTGATTGTAATTTTTTTTTACATAGTGGATTTTTCTACGGCCTTGTTGCCCTGGTGGTTTTTCTCTCTTTGTTAACAAAGGATTTTCCACGTTAAACTTTGTGTTCTCGAGTTTTATTATTTTCAGTAGATCTTGGGCGGAGTTTCGGTGTGGTCGAAATTCCCAACAACTATATAATAAAGGAAAGGATTTACCTATAATATTAGATAAAATCCCACATAATTTCAAAATTATTAAATTTAAAAATTCCTAAATATAACTTACATTTAAAATTTTAATCGATAATAATTAAAAAAATTATTTCCTTCTTTATAGAGATTAGTTAAAAATTAGTTAAAGAAACTATTTTAAACACTATTTAGCTGCTAGGATCCTGAGAGCGAAGGGCAGAAATGGAGTTGTAAATAAAATTACCCTCTAAAAAAAAAGCTGTCACTTGTCACATTGAAAGGTTGCTTCATTGAAGTTTGTGTAAAAGTAGCTAAGATAGCACAAACCACTTTACTGACAGGATTCATCACGACTTTAGCTACTTTAGCGGCTTGGCCAGTTACTCGAGATTCAGTCTAAGTTGGACTTTATGGCTAATGACTTACTTGGTGTAGCGCCTGGTGCTCGAACATTGGCTCGAGGCATTTTCAGGAAAGCGCTTGCTAGTTACAGTCCTTCGACGAGATAAGCAGTCAAGTAGAAAATTGCGTTTTGGAACATATATTTTTTTTTTCTTATTATGGATAATATTTTAAAAATGATTCAATATCCTTTTTATATATATATATATATATATATATATATATTATCTTTTTAGATAGTGTTTCAAATTTGATTTCAATATTATTAATTACAAATTTCCAAATACGTAACTTGTGAGTTTTCACTTTTATCATGCGTCTAAGTTCATTTTATAATTTGCAATGTTTATATCATCTTATGGATTGTTTTTTTATTTTTATTTTTTCATTTTTTCTGCTTTCAACTTCTTAATATGTTGAAAACCCTTTTATCCTATATTTATGTTAAACTATTAGTTGAAATATTTATCAAGTTTTGAAAAATTTGACCGTCTTTATTTAAGTCATGTAATTACGCTCATCAATTAATAAAATTATTATATTATTTATTTCTTAAATAATCTAAAGTTTGAACCATTAAATTTTAAAATACACAGTGTTTGGACAAATTTAGTATAACATTTATAGCTAAAAAAATGGAAGAACATTTACTTAATAAATTATATATTTCATTGAATCACACGATTTATACACCATATTGAAAATATTATGCTTTAATTTTATAAAATATTGAGACATATACCAACACACCTATGAATTTGAGGACATAAAATTGTTAGTGAAAATTGAGGTAAAGAATAATAAGATCTGTTTTTTGAAAGATTGTCTAAAAACTGTACAATATTTATTAATCTATTATCTAACAAATTTATAAAACAGATGCCGACAACTAATCTTTTTTTTAAAAAAATACATGAAAATTTGAAATTAATTTAAATTTACTATTGTTGAGAGGTGATTAAAAAATTTAAATTATAAATACTCATTAATATATACTAGTGCACCCAGAGCCGCACGACCACAAGATGAAGTTCATTATTCCGATTACAATGTCTTAATACATTGTCCCGATTCATTTTGATATATGAGTACAACGATGATGATATGTGTTGTTAAATTGGTTAATTGTTTACGTCTATCCCCATTGAGGTGTGGTTGTTCACCCCCTTCTTTTATCCCTCAAGGTAGACTAGTTGTTGTCTAGGGTTGCAAACGAGTCGAGCGGTTCAAGAGCCGCTCGTGAGCGCTCGAGTCAAAGCTCGACTCGAGCTCGAGTTTGACCGAACACGAGTCGAACTCGAGCGGCTCGAGCACGAACCCGAGTCGAGCTCGAGCCCATATTTTGCCTTGTCGAGCGGCTCGAGATACACGTTAAATTACTAAAATACCCCTTATTATATATATTAACATAGGTGTTTAATGGTAATTTTACCTTTCCACTTAAAAAATTTTGAGTCGAACTCGAGCCGAGCTCGAGCATTTTGATTTCGAGTCGAGCTCGAACTGAGCTCGAGCTATTGTAATTTTTTATCATCGGGTCGAGCTCGAGCCTAAAAAATCAAGCTCGAGCAACTAAAAAAAACTCAATCCTACTCGATAAGGCCAATGCTCGACTCGACTCGACTTCTTTGCAACCGGAGTTGTCAGTATACAGTGGAAGATGGGTACTCATATATCACAATATTAAATTTTATTATGAGCTTAATCGATTTATGTTGCTGACTCTATTTGTTTGACTTTTATTATTATTAATCACGAATCATGGATTGTCATAGACTCATACTTTTTAACTTGGGATTATATAAGTTGGATTGCATGATATAATTATTCGACGTTGATTATGTCTTGATGAGATGAGTCTTTCAAGTATTGAGAAGTGAGTGAATTGGTTTTGTCATGGAGCCAACAGTTGGCTCTATAGTGGAGCCAACGGTTGGCTCTATAGTGGAGCCAACCTTCTATATATAACAAGTAAATCTATCATGTTCAATGATTACTTAAATAACATTAATATAATGTTATTAGTACGATAGGTTTATTTGTTGTATAGAAAGTTGGCTCCACTATGAAGCCAATTGTTGGCTTCATAGCACAACCGGTGAGCGAATTACTGAAGATAAATTCTCAAAGTTCATTTGTGAAAGTGACATTAGTTAAAATATAAGTTAGAATTTTGTTGCATGTTTTAGAAAATATTGTTCTGGAGACCTTTTTTTTTATTAGTATTTCGAAAAATTATTTAAAGTATGCCAAAGACTTATAATTTATGGTAGTAAAATTAAAGTACGCTACACCATGCATAAAACTATAAAGTGGGAAATATAATTTAAAATCATATTCAAATATAGATCATGTATCACATGCATGCATCATACACTTTAGCAGTTAATTAATAACATCTTATCCCAAAATTGAAAACCGGATAAAGCTAAATAACCAAAATGGAGCTTTACCCTTTATTGTGTCATTCTAAAACTTGACATACTCAATTGCAGTTTTGAAGTTTTATTATGAAACCAACAGTTTGCTCGATAATTGAGTCAACCTTCTATATACAACAAGTAACCGTACCATATTAATAAAATTATTAGTATTATTTAAGTAATCAGATATTATTGTATAGTTTACTTGTTGTATATTGAGGATTGACTCCATTATGGAGCTAAATGTTGGTTTCAATAGCAAAATTGTAATCAATTGATCTTATTTATTGCCGTCCCCATATCAATTGATCTTATTTATTGCCGTCCCCACTAGTAAGATCAATTTTCCGATGATCAAACAAATCCAATCCAATGCAACGACGTATAGGTAACACAGAATCCAAAATCAATTCCCAAAAGAGTGCGCTTATAGCAATTAGCAACCACAGAAATATTTTAAGCGTATTTCTCTCATATCAATTTGAGTGATGTTCATGGTAAGTAGCTACAAAGTCGATTCTCCGCATACCAAACACCAAGCTCAAAAAAGATGTAGGCAAATTAGGTTTTACCTTCCATATATCATTTTCTCTACCCCGTCTGTCATTTTGAAATTAGTATAATCGCCTTTAGAGATGCCGAGAAACAGCCTCCTTTGTGTAGTTAACACAAAAGGTCATCATAGCTCGTCCTTCACATCACTAATCGGGGCCTCGTGGACTTCTTCAACTGTGGAAGTAGCTGGTTTCTGGAGCTTAAAAGGGATCGATGCATGTTTCTTCAGGAACTTGTACAATGAAACCACTGTCCGATCCGCATCTACAGTAATCTGCCAGACAATATAAATAATTCAAAAAAAAAAAAAAAACATTTCTAGGTGATAAGGAACCAAGAAACAACAATAATAGTAATGTTGGTAGTAACGATATCAAAACACGGTGACGAAGCATAGCTTACAGGATCAAGGCTCTTCTTTCCTGCTGGGAAGAAGAGAATCGTGGGGAACCCATCAGCCTGCATTATGGAAATTTTCTCTTTAGCATCAATTATTTTTTGAGGAGTTCAATACAAAAACAACTCCTCGAATTTTAGCTTAACTGCAGATAAAACCAGCTATTTTTCACAGTATCAAGTTGTTCCGCGCTATTTATTTCTCTTGTACCAGATGCATCTTATCCTTTAACTTGAGGTACCTCATTAGGTAATTGTGATCCATAAGAATGAGGTTCTATCACGCTTTAAAGCAAACCTCCATTGGAAGTTTTCTTCTAGGTTTTAATTAAACTAAAAATCATAGGTTGTGACAGTTTTGGGGGAGGTATTTTTCTTGGGTGCAAAACTTTGTACCAAGTATTGTTGAATAAGAGATGAGAGAGAACGACAACAATTGAGGGTAATTGGCAATGTTCCAAAAATAATAAAATAATGTTGTGCGCAATCGAATATCAAACTAATTTTTCAAGTTTGTGAATGCGGGGTGGGAAGTGAGTTTATAGTTGTTGATGTGGCCAAGATATATCACTTAAATAACCTATCTTTGGGTGCATGCTTGGAGTCGCCTTAATTGAGGTGACGGAAAAGATATTTGTATTCTCGTAAGTCATGACAAAGGGCTGCAAACGAACCAAGCTCGAGTCTAACATTGACCCGAGCGCTCGCCACCTGCTCTATTCGTTTGTAGCCCTACTCATGTGGAGTTTATGTCAATTTAGGCATAATTTCCAGGATAGCTTTTGTACTCACCCAATGCTGAAAGGTCGTGCATCATAAGTATTAATGAATAAGTTGGATTTCAACCTTAAAATTGTTCAAAATCAGACAACCAAGACTATGATATAATAAGAGATTTTATATTCCTGAACAAGAATGAAATTGGAATCTTAATCACCAGGGGTTCAATTTTCAGCACATGTAGCTACTAAAAGCCTCTTCCGAAGTGCAAGTATGACAATTACCTTAGCCTTTGGGTGTTCGTTTGTGGTACCATCCATTTTGGCTATAACAAGAGATTTGACTGAACGCAAGTGCTTGGCGAGCTTGTTGTATGTTGGTTCAAGAGATTGGCAATGCCCGCACCATGGTGCATATATCTGTAGGAATACGTATCAAAACAGATGAGTAAAAGAGAACCAAGACCATCATGCTCCAGATTAATCCACAAGGTACCTCAAGGAGAACGTCGTTGGACTCATCCAGAACAATATCATCAAAGTTGTTCCCCACGACAATCTTCACATCTCCATCATTCTGGGACGTTAAGAATTAGGAGAATATGTTGGTTAGCACATGAATAAGACAAAAAAATTAATCAGACACGAAAATGAATGCAACTCACTGTTTCAGGGATCGGATCGGATTTATAGAATGGTTTGAGCTTGTCTTCCAGAAAAGCATCCCCAAATGCCTGATGAAATATCAAGATTACCAATAAAACATTTGAGTCGCAAGTAAATAACACACCCAAAAAGAACCCTACATAACAAGAAGCTCTGAGTCAATAACAACCAATAGTTTTCAACCTTAAGGCTTTCAAGTGTAATTTCCCCATCAAGAAAATATTTCCTAGCATCATCACTTCCTGCATATCCCAAAACCTGCAGCCAAAGTACAACGCGTTGAAAGAAATTGATTGTATCTTGAGATTACACCAAGGGCGATTCTACTTGTATTAGTAGGGGGGCAATTGCCCCCCCTCAAATTTATTTTTTTTTTACTATTATATTAAAAAATTTTAATTGCCCCCCTCTTAGATTTATTTTTGCACCGGCATGCCCATTTATTTTGTTTTTTTATGCATTTTTGTTATCTTTTACAAATTATGTCATGTCTTTTGCCCCCTCCCGACTAAATTTTTGGTTTCGCCCCTGGATTACACTATCGCACTATTCTAAGCAACAGGTACTGCACATAGAAACTGAGGCCCGTTGATGAAGGAACAGTAAGAAGGTTACTTTTGGAGCATCCTCACTGATGCCAAAATATTCTGCTACAGGTTTTCCGACTTCTTCATCATCAACTTCCACATGTACAAAGACAATCTGCATCAGTTATAAACAAGAACACTCAGTGTCAGTTCTGACAAAATAATAATAATAAATAAATAAATAAACTACTAAATATGTTGTAGAGCAGCAAAAGCCTCAACCTTCTCTAGACATTAAGTTTTGGTTTGTGACAATTAATTCCTTCTAGTAGCAATGCAACTTTACAAGTGTTATATATATTATATTAAGGGGTGATTGGTTGGGAAGTTTGGGGAATAAGGAATGGGAATAGGAATCGAATTGATGGTTGAATTTTAATTCAATGTTTCGTAGCCCCATCAGTTTCACTTCTAGAAATTGTGCATCAGCTTGTGATAAGAAGAAAACTTATGATGATAGAAAGGCAAGTTTTAGAATAGTTCAATTAAACTGGCAATTTAGCTGCTCTGATACAAATAATCCAGAAGTTTCTCAACCCCGTATTCAAGTAAATATGTTTCAACAATGAAAATATTGTACCTTTCCCTTGAAATGCTTTGCAGCCTCTTGGAATGTTGGCAATACTTCTATTGAGTCATTCGATTTGACAAAGAGCAAAAGCTGAGAACACAAATAAAGGATTCAGCATGCAATAATGAACAAGGATGCATAAACGTTAACAATACTATCCAGAATGGCCCATATCCTTGTGTCTACTTAGAACTATCATTCACTTACTTGCTTCTTAATTGGGTTCTCAAATATCAACGATGCAGTTTCTCTGCTGAATGTGGTCACTAGAGGAAGCTTGTTAACAGTAACAAACTCAGCTATTACAGACTTCTCGAACTGCCCATCTTTACAAAAAGAGGATGACATTCAGCACGATATGGACAAGCAAATATTTACAATAGCACACAATGGTACTCACCAAAATGAGTCACTTTCTCTGCTTCTTTCTTTAGCAAAACCAATGCAGGGCGCTTAACATCGACTTTCAAGTGAAACAACTTTGCCACATTGGGATTTGCAGTTTGGTAAAAGTTGACATCATCATCAAGCTTCGATGCAGCAGCAAACTCTTCGCTGTGGGGACCCTGTAAAATTTAAAATGAGCTATGTCGAAAATGATTCTGCGCTGTTACTTTACCATGAAAGGGATTGTATTCCCTTACAGCAGTCGTTTTACTCGCTCATTTGGAAACAGGATTGGGTGCTACGGATTTAATGCATGGAAATAAAGATTTATTTTCCCAACACAAAGAAAGCATGAAAGTAAGGATTTATTTTACAAAGGAACTCAAACAACATGCAAAGGCACAAAGAAATTAGCACTATCCTTGTGAACTAACAAAGAGATTGAATTTGCATTAAACAAAGCATGCTCTCACGAATGACTTCTATCGAACTGGATTGCTATCAATCGCATATGGAAGAAGTAATGAGACAGCTTTGTCTGATACAACAGAAGTGTGAGGATAGAAGAATTTGTCAGGCAGCATAAATGTGAGGGACGTTGTATGTAGGAAAAGTTATCTCCATATGCATCATAGGAAAATCTTATCTCATGCACATGAATGAGGGTGCAATAATAACACATAAGAGTAACAATCATATGGTCTCAATTTATGGTGGAGTGAAAGAAGAAGGGCAAAGCATAGTTAACTTACCACCAATGAGTCAAAGAAGCCCAAAACAACCTTTTCTTGAGATGTTAATATATGCTCTGCATCCTCTGTTGTTGTTATGTTGGTAATACCAGGCCCAATTTTCTTCTTAATCCAGGTCACAATAGCCTCCCTGCATTAAGTTTATTAGTTTTTCAACAGCTCAATAGAACAACTCAATCAACTTTTCATTCAAACACTATACGTTGAACAATCATCAGGTACATAATAGAACTCTTCAGATGTATTTGGCATTTTATATTTCCTGAACAGTCAATATTCACATCCATGTATATATCAAAAGTCAAATGCAATAGCAGAGATGTACTGGTTTCGCAATCTACACAAAAACAGGCAATCATGTAAACATGCATTTAAGATGACATTTTTGGATTAATAATTAATATGCAACGCTTGAAATTTATCCTCCGTATTTTGCATTGACAAATCACAAATGAATAAAACTAAATAGCAGCAACGCAGAGCAGTTTTCACACCAAGTTCTATCTCTATACAAGATTTCATCCAAACAAAATAAAAGGCAAATCCTGCTATATTCTTTCCTTAAACAAATCCTGAATCCAAGTGGCCCAAAACAAATTTGAATCTGAACTTTAAAATTTCAGAAAATGTATTCATAATACTACAGAAAAGAGAAATTGGGAAGGGAATGTATCACCTTAAAGCCACAATCTAGTATGAGGTAAGTCGTCAACAGCTTAGAGGTGATGTTATAGGGAGAACCAGAAAAAGAACAAAAACACAAATGTTACCATTAACAATAAAATTTTGGGAGCAAACTCCCTTTTTCACTTGTATACAGCTAGATCATGCATTTTGCATCACAGAGACTGTTTCCGTTAATCCGTAAGTAAAGCTAGAGTCGTAAAAAGTGACCAACTTCCCCCATTTCGTACTTCAAAAAGATATGAAAAACAAAAAGGCGATGTAACTTTGAATTCCCTTTCAACATAGCAGGAAACCCAGCGTGTGTTGGACATTGCACAACTGATGCCTTCAATCATCAAATACAGATACATACAACACAGGAAGAAGAATTTGATGCGGGAGAAAGGGATAAAACATTACAACGCAATAATACGAGTATATCACACATCTCACCTGGTACGTTGACCAGAATACGGTTTGTGCTCCCCATCAACAAAGAAATACAAAGTAGGGAATCCTTGAACTTCATATGTCTCCGCCAGCTCGTTCTCCTCCGTGGCGTCCACCTTGGCGAGCTTCACATTCTCGGTCTTCAGCTCGGTGGCGGCCGCGGCATACTCCGGCGCCAGAGACTGGCAATGCCCACACCACGGCGCGTAGAACTCCACCATCACATACTTGTTCTCGCTCACGAAGTCACTGAAATTGCTGTCCTTCAAAACGACGACGTCCGTCTCATCGATCCCGGCAACCTCAGCCGCCTCCTCTTCCTGGTGATTGAAGTCAGAGGAGGCATCGAAGTCGTCGTAGTTCCCAAATTCGTTATCTTCGTCATCGGAGAACTCATCGTCAGAGTCGGGGTGGTTTCCGGGCGCGGCGTCGCCAGATTCGGGTTCCTCAAGAAAGCTGAGGTCTTCAACATCGTCATCATCAGCTGCTGTGGCAGAGAGAATTGGGGTGGAGAATAGAGCGAAGAGGAGCAGAGAGATGAGCGTGAGTAGAAGGGTTAATCGAGACGCCATTGCCAGGGTTTGAGAAGGAGATCGGAGTGGAATTTGACTGAGATCTGACGGGGAGACGGAGACAGAGCGACTTTATACAGTGAAAGATGGAAAGAGATGAAACTACGTCGTTCCGGAGGTTGCCTCTGTATCTAAAATGTCCCAAATCCCAATTATGCTTGGAGATCAATATAGATAGTATTCAATTCAATAAGATTTCAGATATGGAATAAAGATAAAGGCAATTGGATGTGATGAAGTCCATTAGTTAGTAAGATTAGGTTTTAAGGTTTTTCTCTTGTAAACTCTATAAAAAAATGAATACCGATAAATAATATATATACTTTCTGCTTTGTTGTAAATATTTTCTGGAGTAAAATCGAAAGATTCGAACACCGGGTCGTGTCTCACGAAGAAGGTTAGCTCGAATATATTGTACGTTTATTCAATCACGAAAAAAATATAAAATACCTAAACATACTAATTCAAATGATTGGGTTTGGTTTAATTATCTACTAGCACGAGAATTCAAATAAAGCAGTAAAAATAGCACGCAGAGACGAAAAACAAATAAGATTTAACCAGCTAGGGAGTCGGGGATATCCGTTTTGGTTCAGAGTGCGATTGATGGGCAAGTGATTGTTCGGTTAAGTGATTTGAATAACCTATCGTTCGAGTTTTTATTCTCAATTACTTTTCGTAACATGAGAACAAGCTTGAACGACAAATTAACAATTCAATTAACGCCTAGGCAATACAGTTACGAACAAGCCTAGTTCATACAAGCCAATTTCGACCGACTCCTCCCCTTTCGGTTCTAAGAGTCGATTAAATTATACTAGAGGTTGGTTAATCAACTAGCCCTTTTAAAATTTTCGAAATCTTGCACGCATTAAACGAATTCAATTAAAATAATTGGACGTTCAAGTGTCACCCTTCAACAATTCACAAAATTGGAGAACAATGATCGAAAAAACCCTAGTTAATAAATAACAACTCGCACAACTTGATCAATCTCAAGCCCGACAATCACAAACGAATCAAAACATCAATCCCTTATTCCCAAGCATATTGATTTAGCTATTCATAATCAAATTAACAATCAAAATCATAATCATGAACGGATCCATATTCATCAATTAATTGAAAAGAAAGATCTTACGATTTAATAAATCTGAAGTTGAATGACAATCCGAATAACAAGCTTGAATCCAAAAACAATAGCCGATCCGAGATAAATTCGAGTTCTCCGTCCCGAATTATTGGAAGTAAAGATGAAAGAAAATCAGTTTTTTTCTTTAAGGGGAAGGGAAAGAGAGAAATTCAAAACCTAGGCGTGAATAATCATAAACGACAGTTCATAAAATTCAGATTTTACAAATCTGTGATCGCGCAACTTGCGGCCGCGGGAAAGCTCGCGGGCCGCGGTGAAGGAGAGCTTCGCGGCCGCGAGATCGTCCGAGGCCGCGAATATTTTCGTCTGAAGTTGGGCTTGTAATCTGCTTTGTTCGCCGCGGCCGCAGTGAAGGGAAACTCGCGGCCGTGGCCTTGAAAACTGGGCGGAGCAGAAAAAATGCAGGCGCCGCGGCGTGAGCTGTTGCCGCGGCGCGAAGCAGGAGGTCGCCGCGGCGTAGAGGTGCTTCGCAGCGTGATGGTGGTGGCTTTCACGGCGCGATAGAGACGGCTCTCACGGCGTGATGGTCTTGCTGGCGCGGAGGATCGAGGACTTCACGGCGTAGCGGCAGGGGTTCTTCACGGTGAGAGGAGGTTGCTTGCAGCAGCATGGAGAAGAGTGTTGGCTCGCCGTGAGAGACTTTGTGCAGTGGCGCGGTGGCCGTCTTACGGCTTGGAGGAGAGGAGTTGCTTGCTGTGCGTGGAGGTCCGAGAGTGATGTCGCGGCATGGTGGACTCACGGTGTGGATGAAGATGGACTGTCGTGAAGGGGATGAACTGTAACGTGCCATGAAAAGGGTTGCTGCGCGACACCGACATGACACGTGATTGGGGCTCGCTATCGGTTGATTTGCACGGTTTCATGCTTGGGACTCTTTTGAACTCGTTCGAGCTTGGACTGGAGTTCCGCTTTTTTCCTATGTGACGCCGACAAACCCCTCTACGAGTTAAGCTCGCCAAAATATTTTCCATAAAATAATAATCAACCGATGTACCTACCCTGCACACCATGAGACGAAAAGAAAAACGGAGAAAATGAAGGAAAACAATCGAAAAGCACAAAAAGACTCTAAATAAATAAAAACACACGAAAAGAAAAGAAACGGACCTAAACTAAGAGCAAAAACATAAAATGGGGGAAAAATAAAGGAAAAATAATCACGAAAAATGCAACAAAAATGGGACAAACAACTCCCCCACACTAAGACCTTTGTTCGTCTCGAACAAAAAAAAAGAAAGGAAAAGACTCGAAACAAGCAAACGAGCATGGATAATAGTTTCAGATAAGACAAGTTTCAAATTAATCAACTTAGCCGAGAAAACTTCCAATGACCAATCATGCATACCTCAATTACACTTGAATGCAACATTTTGAAAAGACAACTCTCGAGCACAGAAATATAATACATAAATGCCTCACTCGATTTCTTTCATGAATATAAAACTGGGGCGCTCAAATTGGTCGATCATCATGCATCAACATAAGCTTGCTCATTGTCTATTCATACTCTAAAACAATCAAAATAATGAACTGTAAATCAAAAGGACTTTCGGGTTGCAGTGTAGGCATCAGGAAAGGAAAAATATAAGGAAAGAATGACTCAAATAAACAATCACATCCTCGAGCATATAAACTTTTCTAATATCTCACCACCTATCCAAAATCAGCACAACCTCAGTCGTTCCTATCAAAACTCCATGCAACACTCACATATGCTCAAACTGAATTACACTTCAAGTACTCAATTTTTTTTTTCTTTTTTTTTTTTAATAAGGGAATTGCTTTTTTCTAACAAAACTGAGATGTCAGGACGACATTCTCTAAGTTTAAACATTGGAGGTCATCCAAATTTCCTAGAGTGGTTTCTCAATACTCATTACTCGTCAAAGAATTTCAACAAGTAAACGGAGTAGAATCCTTTAGTCCGTCTTGCGAGTCCCCTTTTTTTTAAGTACTCAAAATGAAACTCAACAAGTTATACACCTTCTTCAACACGTATTAGTAAAATTCCGTCATCATAGCAAGTACACTGTCAAATCTCAAATAATTCAATCAAATCGGTTGACAAGAAATACAGTTTGAGGCTCAACGGGCTACTAATGAAAATATAGTCTCAAGGGTCAATGGAAAAGGCTAAACGAGCAATGTCAAAGAAATGCCTCAATCATATTCACAATTCACTACTTTAATCAGTTCATTTCAAAATAAACTCAAAGCAAGTTCTGATCAACAAGAATTCGACCAATATCTCTCAAGAAACAAAATAAGGCTCAAACCCTCACATAAGGCAGATAATGTCCAACAAAACGACACATCAAGTTCATCAAGGCATACTGATCATGATCATCATCACATCACATCAACATCATCAACAATCATCAACAAATCTTAAAATTCACCATGATCCATGCTAAAAAACACACGAACTGACTCAAGAAAAGACACTAAAATAAAAAGAAAAAGAAAAATAACCTAAAAGACCTAGACCTGATCAACCATATAAGCACATAAACATGTAAAAACTCCCCCACACTTAAAATCGAACAATGTCCCATTGTTGATTTGCAGTGCAAAGAAAGTTAACTCATATAATCAACCAACAAGAAAGAAAAAACAAAGACACTAAACCAAATATGAAAATAAAGAGAAAGGAAAAGATACAAACGTACAAGGCACAGTGACTAGACTACTCACTGTGAATCCGATGGTGTAGGTGGAGGGTGGAGGTGGTTAGGCCCCAAACAACGGCGGGCCTCCATCAAGTCAAATCCTTCGCCCCATTGGGATCGGGGCAACTCTCTGGAACTCGGCTGGGGTGGTGAGGTGTGGCGGTCAGTCTGACATACTTTCCCAACACAAGTTCAGTCCTGTAACGACCTCTTCGCGTAAGCTCTCTTACACTCTTCGTCAGTAAGCTTCTCAATAGCCCTAAGGTACGCACGTTCTTCCACGAACTTCACCTCTGGCTCATGTCGAGTCTCTCGAACACAAACGGCAATGGACTCGCCCAATACAGTCATGTTGGTCATTCCCTTTTTCACATCTATAACAGTGCTCGTGGTCGCCATGAAGGGTCGTCCGAGGAGGATGGCGTGCTCCCTAACATTTGCTTGCACGTACCCCATGTCGAGCACAACAAAGTCAACGGAGACTATCAACTTCCCCACTCGGACAAGCACATCCTCCACATTCCCTGCTGGTTGGCGAAAAGACCGATCAACCAGCTGTAGGCGCATCCTGTAGGCTTCAAGTCTCTGAGCTCGAGGCGGTGATAAACTGCGAGTGGCATGAGGTTTATGCCCGATCCCAGATCGAGCATTCCCAAGGTCTCCTCCCCATTTCCGAAGGCCATAGTGATCACGAAGCCTCCGGGATCCTTTTTTTTCTTCGTCAAGTCATGCTGGAAGACACTCGTCGCCTCACAAATGATCACCTCCCCACCATTCTCAAACTGGTTCTTACTTGTGGCCACCTCCTTGAAGAATCGTGCATAGGCCGGTATTTTCTTCAACACATCAGGAAGAGATAAGTCGACATTGGCCTTAGCCAACATCGCATGAAGGTCCCGAATCATGGTGCGGTCCTTCTCCTCTAATAGTAGGCTCGGGAAGGGGATTTTTGGTCTGTAGGGGTTCAGATATCTGTGTAAAGTAGGCTCGGGTAATGGTGTCACTGGGGATCCTTCTAGTCTCCCTTGATCTTTCGGGCCCTCTTTTACTTCTTTCACTTCATCGGGCATACATGGGCTGCAATAAAGGCTCGGTGTCATTTTTTAAGACTTCCAATTGAATAAGTATGAGTAAAGGATCCATGGCATAAGATAGAAGTAGTAGTGACTAGCAAGCTC